CTATATGTGTATATGTAGTGTGTATGCGTTTCTTTGTGTACTGACGTGTGAATATATATATATGGTAGAAAAAAACACAATGCAAAAACTTCAAAATCCACCTGGAAATCAAGGTGGATTTCGAAGCTGTATCAACACGGAAGAGTGTTTTACCATTCATACGTATATATGTATGTACGTGCGTTTTATGTATATAGACTGGGTGTTGGTAAAATACCAATCCAACCGTGACAAAAAAAATATATATATATAATAAAAAAAATATATATATATATACACACTTGCAAATCAACAGCCCACATTATTCTGTTACGTCACCAGGTGTTCATTCAGATGGAAAAGTTGGTGCAAAGTTGCAAAGAAAAAGTACAGGAACAATCTTAGTTTCAAAATATAAAGTCAAGGATACTCCTACATCATTATGGAATTGTTCGCTGAGCATACGTTGCTGCTTAAAGGAGTTTGAACTTATTACATATTTAACCACATTTCATAATAATCAGTTACAGTTATCGGGCCATCTTACTCTGCAGGACGCCGATCCCTGCGTGTCCATCGAAGGCAGAGGTCATGGCTGCCACCGCGACGCCGCAGGGGGACGCGGGGTCGGCGAACACAGGCAGGTACAGCGACAACGGCTGCCCATCTGCGATACGAAGAAAGCAAAATGAAATGCCAGAATTTAGCTTTTTTCCCGCCTTTAGCATTAAACAGTCTAAAGGAAAGAGAAGAAAAGGGAAGAGAGAAAAGGAAGGAAGAGGAAGGAAGGGGAGGGATGGGGAGGGAAAGGAAGGGAAGGGAAAGCGTTGTAATCGGAAAACAGTCCTTGATAGCCCTGAACCAATCCCGAAAGTTTAACATTAATATAAGTACAAAATAAATAGAAGAACAAATAAACGAAGAAAAACAATCTGTTGTTTCGCGTGCTCGCCGTATTTCCTATTTCCAACTGACGACACACATGATATTTTTTTTCGCGAATTGGCATAAAAAAAATCGTGAAACATATTGAAGGAGGGGAAAAGACAACAAGACTTGATAGTTATCATTATGCAAGATATGAAGTCGCGTATCATTACACAAGATACGTATCGCTGATTCCTAATCTCACGGATGAAGTGGCTAGTGACGTCATCAGCATAAATGGTCGTCAATATTGCAACCGAAAAAAAAAATCTTTATAGTTATTAATGAAAAAGTAATTAAAAGTGTATGTCAGGACTATCCTATTATTAAACTACAAATGTCTTGCTTGCTTTTGATCAGACGTGTTCTCAACACCAGTCTAAAGGAGAGAAGGAGAGAGAAGAAAAGGGAAGAGAGAAAAAGAAGGAAGCGGAGGGAAGGGCAGGGATGGGGAGGGAAAGGAAGAGAAGAGAAGAATAAAGAGAAGAGAAGAGAAGAGAAGAGAAGAGAATAAAGAGAAGGGAAGGGAAAGGAAGAGAAGAGGAGAACAGAAAAGAACAGAGAAGAGAACACAGATAAATGCTTCGAAGGACCTTGTTGCTGACCCAACCCACGAAGTAATCACGTGACCAAGCTACGACTCGCACTAGTTAAGGGAAATGTCAGTGCTTTGGTCATGATGACTTGGTCAGCTGCGTGGCTTGCCCTAGACAGCAAGCGCCATCTTGGGACGATATATATAACGGCTTCCTTTAAATTCTACGGAGAGAAACTAACAGACAGACGAACAGACAGACTGATATGTAATCAGTGCAAGAGTGAGAGTGAGACAGAAAGACAGAGACAAAGGCAGTGACAACGAGGAAGATAGGCAGACAGATAGATAGATAAATAGAGAGAAAGAGATACATACATACATATAGAGAAAAAAAGGGAGACAGATAGATAGATAAAAAGAGAGGGAGAGGGAGAGAGAGAGAGAGAGAGAGAGAGAGAGAGAGAGAGAGAGAGAGAGAGAGAGAGAGAGAGAGAGAGAGAGAGAGAGAGAGAGAGAGATAGTAGAGAGAGAGAGAGAGATAGTAGAGAGAGAGAGAGAGATAGTAGAGAGAGAGAGAGAGAGAGAGAGAGAGAGAGAGAGAGAGAGAGAGAGAGAGAGAGAGAGAGAGAGAGAGAGAGAGAGAGAGAGAGAGAGAGAGAGGGATATATATATATATATATATATATATATATATATATATATATATATATATATATATATATACATATATATATACATAGAGAGAGAGAGAGAGAGAAAGAGAGAAATAGAGAGAGAGGCAGACAGATAGAGAAAAAGAGAGATAAAAAGTCAGATATGAGTGATAACAGAGAGAGAAGACTGATAACAGATTTCACAAGATAAACGCCACTCGAGCCTTGCTGATTAATCTTCGTATTTACATCCGATTAATGAAAATCTCAATGAAAAATATTGCGTAATGGCAAAGAAACCGATAACCCGCACCGTTTCCTAATATGGTTTGACTCAGAAACATGACGTAATCTCCAAGCATTTCGTTGGCAGGGAATTCATCATATCGTTGTCATGATTAAT